GAATTCCCCAGCAGCCCCCCCCCACTAATTCCCCATATCTCCTACATTCTTGCACTGTGTGTCGAACAGCAGATAAAAGCACTGATTTAGAACAAAATTCCCTTGAACGGCTTGGCTGGGGAAAAGAACCTAAGAGGGTGATCTGGGGGCTGGAGGAGGAGGAGGAGACCCACCTTCAAGTCTTATCACCGGCTACGGGGGAACTTTGGGCCCGTCTCTCCCTCCCCCGAGCCCAGCCTACTCCACAGGGTTGTTGTGGGGCAAAGTAGGAGGAGAAAGTGCAGTAGCTTGTCTTTTCGTTTGCTTATTTGCTCTGAAAAATACTGTAAACTCACATAAAGCATCTTGGGCTGTGTTTCTCAACCTTGGGAACTTTAAGATGGGTGGACTTCAACTCCCAGAACTCCCCAGCCAGCCAACTCCAAGAATTCTGGGAGTTGAAGTCCACCCATCTTCAAGTTCCCAAGGTTGAGAAACACTGGCCTAAATTACATCAATCTTCCACCCTCCAGCCCAGAAAGTTTTACTGCCAGCTCCAGATGCTTTAGAAGAGAAACCGAAGGGCATCTTTGTCCGCACATGATCTCTTCCAAAGACAAACAGGTCACCTTGGTCCACTGGCTAACACTGGTCTCCCGAACGCGGCGCCACCACCTGCCGAATCGTGGTTTCTGAATAAACCCTCATGGTTTGCACTTCAGGCCCCTGGAGCTCACCCAGGACACTCGGTCGGGGGGGCATCTTATTTGGGAGGGCTGAAGAGACTTTGGGGGCTTTGGGAAGGAGGTCGTGGGCACCTTCGCAACATGGCTGCTGGGGGATTTCACCTTTATAAGCCCTGTTTGCTTTTTTTACTGAGCAGGTGGGCACGCTTGCCCGCTAATCTTGGGGGCCGCCTCCTCCTAATGTTCACTTTCTCTGCCCCTTTTAAATTAAAAGGAGGCTTAAAGATGTTTAAAAGCTTAGCGGGCACCAGATGTGCTCACCTCCCTGAGCATCATGGTTTCCAAGCCACATTGGCCCAATTCCCCAAACCACAGATAAGCAAACCCCACGTTGGCTTAAGCTGGGTTCGTACCATGTACCGGGAGGCTGCGATTTCGGAAGGAAACCCCAAACCCACGTGTTTCTCTCCGTCTTTCTCAACCATCTGCGCTTAGCTGAACCTTCTCATTCTGGCCCTGCCCGTTGGTAAAAGAGCCATCTGCAAGCCCGAAGGTGCTTCTGAGCATGGACCGAGCGATCTTTCCCCCCTTCGCCCCTGGGCACCTGCAGCCCGCCCACCCCCATTGAAGAACTCCACACCACCGCTGACCCTCTTTTTCCAGCCAAATCTTTTCAGCCACACATCCAGCCCCCCTTCTTCCTGAACCCCCTTTTTCTCGTTTTAGCAGAACGCTTGCAATTCTGTTCCTGATCGGCCCACCGGGCACCAACTCCAGAGACTGGAGCTACAGTTTTAGCAGGCCAGGTGGGAAAAGATGCCACCCTCTTACACAGCATGTCTCGATCAAGAACTCCCCCCCCCCATTTATGACTGGGGGAATATCTGCGCTAACCCTTCCCCAAATAGCCATTTTGTCCTGGGGGGGGGGGAAGAAGCTACAGACCCAGCCACGTGCCAGCTACTCAACAAATCCCAATTTTTGCACCATGGAGGAACCCCCCTGCCCCCCCACAGAAAGCCAATTTAGAAATCAGGCCCCAATCCTGCACTTTCCTACCACTTGGCCTTAACTTTACATTGTACAATGTACAATAACACAAGGACCATTTTGCAGAGTTGGGTGGGAAAATGCTGGCCGTCGGGAACCATCCTGCTTCCCGGTCTATCTTTATCGTTCCAGGCAGATGAATTGATCAATAACGCCCAGTTGTATCTGGTGGGCTAGGTTTGGCTCAGGGAAGCGGAGGAACGCAGGGAGAAATAAGGCTGAGATTGGACAGGTGTAGCACGCCAAATCCTTCCAGCAGATGGAAAACCTGGCCCCAGCCTCGCAGCGGCATTCATCCCTCAAGACTGACATATTATGGACCGGCCAAAGAAAAATGGAAAGGGCCAGTTTAAAAAGACACCATCAGTCCCCAGCCAGACTTCAGCCTTCCTTACAGAATTCACTCCATCCGCCGGGAATCCTAGAGGTCATGCAGACCAACCCGCTGCTCCACAGTTATGGGGCTGTCTTCAAATA